ATGGCGCTGGCGCAGAGGACTCCGCCTCCGTGGTCGGCGACGGATGGCGCATAAGGACGCCCAGGACGGGATCCCTGAGGATTAGGGACGCCCGCGCGGAGGACAGCGGGAGGTACATGTGCCACGCCCAAAATGGAGTCAACCCGCCCATCTCCAAAACCATTTCGCTCACGGTTCTTGGTAAGAAAACAGTTCTTTTGTTTTTGTTATTTTTGAGTGGTAATGCGTGTTTTTTATCGTCTTAATGACATTATGAATTCGTAAACTACGGTACCTGATCCATCTGTCAGGGTAATAACTTGACTGACGGACAGGCAGACATGCAAATAAACAATCAAACAAAAATGCACATAAACAAACAGACACATAAACAGACACATACATAAACAAACAAACATACGCATACATAAACAAACACACACACACACACATACACATACACATACACATACACATACACATACACACATATACACACACACACACACATACACACACACACACACACACACACACACACACACACACACACACACACACACACACACACACACACACACACACACACACACACACACACAAACACACACACACACACACACACAAACACACACACACACACACACACACACACACACACACACACACACACACACACACACACACACACACATTCACACACACACACATTCACAAACAACCAAACACACACGCCCAACTAACCCCCCCTTCCCGCAGAGGGCGCGCGCGTGGAGGAGCGCGTGGTGAACGAGTCAGCGGCCGTGGGCGACGCCCTCAGCCTGCGGTGCCCCGCGCGCGGCGACCTGCCCATCTCCTTCACGTGGGCGCGCGACGGCATCACGCTCGCAGGTCCGGGCAGCGGGGGCTTTGGTTGGGGGGAGGGGGGAAGGGGGTTGTAGTTTGTACTCTTAGATTTTTTTTTCGTTTTTCCCCTCGTTCTATTCCTTTTTATCTTTCTTGGCTTTCTTTATTTCTTATTCTTTCTTTTCTTTCTTTCTTTCCCTTTTTCTTTTGTTTTTCTTTTGTTTTTTCCTCTTTCTATTTTTTTCTTTCTTCCATTTTTTCTTCCTTTTTTTCTTTTTCTTTTTCCTTTCTTTCTCTTTTTTCTCTTTCTCTCTTTCTCCCTCTTTTTATTATTTTTTTTCTTTCTTTCTTTGTCTTTTTCTCTATTTTCTTTCTTTTTTTTGGGGGGAGACTAAGTTCTATTACTTTTTTCTCATCTCTGTTGTTTCTTATTTTCTTTCTTTCTTCGTATTTTTTCTCTCTTTATATTATTCTGCTTATTCTCTTATTTCTCTTTTTCATTCTTTGTTCCCTCTCTCCCATTTTTTTTATCTTTCTTCGTAATTCTATTTCTTATTATTTGTCTCTTTTTCTACCCTTTTCTACGTCTCGTCTTCTTGTGTTTAATAGGCTTTGTAAATTGTGAATTCCTCGCAAAAAAAATCCATGTTTATCAGCTTTTTCTTTTAGTGGTTTTCATCAGTATAGCATTGTCATCATCAATGTCGTTATTAGTGTTATTCTTGCGTTTGTAATTCTGGATTTCATGATCATCATCTTCAATCATCACCCTCGTCATTCTCACCATCCTCGTCAACAATATCCTCCGCCTCACCATCACCTCATACCCCGTCAGTCTCCTCCCTGATCCTCATATTCCTCCTCCCCCCCTCCCTACACCTTCCCTCTCTCTACACTTTCCCCCCCACCCTCACCATTCCCCCTTCCCCACACCTTCCCCCTCCCCACACCTTCCCCCCTCCCCCCTCCCCACTCCTTCCCCCCTCCCCTCTCCCCACACCTTCCCCCCTTCCCCCTCCCCACACCTTCCCCCCTCCCCCCTCCCCACACCTTCCCCCCTCCCCTCTCCCTGCACCTCTCCCCTTACCCCCTCCCCTCTCCCCCTCCCCTCCCCTCTCCCCCTCCCCCTCCACCCTCCTAACCACTCTCGAACCCCCCCCCGCAGGCTCGGGTCCCTCGGGCATGGAGTTCCGCGTGCAGGACGGCGGCCGGACGTCGGTGCTGCTGATGAACCCGACGACTCGCTCGCACGCCGCCGTCTACACGTGCCAGGTCGCCAACCGCTACGGCACCGACTCCAGGACCTTCTTCGTCAACGTCGTCGGTAGGTGGCGGGCGGGGAGGGAGGGAGGACAGGGGGTATGGGAGGACAGGGGATGGGGATGGGGCAGGAGAGGCTGGGCAGGGGTGAGGTATGGGGCATGAGTCGTTGGCATATTCATATAATATATATATATAATTATATATATATATATATATATATATATATATATATATATATATATATATATTTATATATTTATATAATTATATATACACATTCACACATGTATTACTGTATTTAGGTTTGACTCCCCCAACATATGTAAATTCATGCACGCACATCTACGATAATGAGTCTATCGTAGCTATGATGAAGAGTTGAGAATCGCCAACAATGACTACCTAAACAACT